CTATAGAAGCTCATGCCCCGATTACTTTGCAATCGGCTTGACGCGTTCTCCGACGCGCGACAATCACCTGGCCAAGCTGGCTTCCGCAAGAGCCTAAGCACATAGGACCACCTTTTCACTGCAACTTTGCTTTGCGGGCAGTCCTGCGAATGACAGCTCCCGCCCTGGACAGCTGCTGTCGATGTCAAGAAGGCAATGCGTCGACCACTCGTGGCTGTGGGAAGCCCCGAGGAAACAGCCTGTGCCAGAAGCGCGCGTCACCTTGCTGCAGAATCTCTACAGCGACCAGAGAACCACAGTGAAGACCGACGTCATCGGGAGACAAGTCAACGTCGAGCGCGGCGTCAAGCAAGGAGGCCCACTCAGCTCATATTTGTTCAACGCGCTACTCGAGCACATTTTCTGGCGCACTGAGCGAACTCGGGCACGAAAGGGCTTCGATGTGGAATTGGGAAGGGCGCGGGCGACGCGCCTGACAGGCATGATCTGCGCTGGCGACGTACTCCTCCTAACACCCAACCTACGGCGACTCGCGTGCATTTTGGGAGGCCTCAAACGCGAAGCTGCGAGGTGCTGACTTGCGTTGCACCCCGACAAAAACGAATGTCCGCACACATGTTTACGGGCGACAGGGGCGAGCGTTACGCGCGTGGACATCGACGACAAGGTCGAAATCCTCGGCGCCGAGGAGAACGCCAAGTACTTGAGTCGCAAGTTGACGCTGGGCGACTTCCACCGCGCCGAGCTCGCCGACAGGCTTGCACTGGGGTGGCGCAAATCAACCAGTTCCGCAACCAGCTCACAAACAGCCAGACCCCCCTTCGCAGCAGACTCAGGCTCTTCAGCGGGGCGCTGACGCCGACGGCCACGTAAGGCTGCGCAACTTGGGCTCTCACCAAAGACATGCTCCTGACACTCCGACACACGCAGCGACGCATGTTACGACTCATTGTCAATACTTCGAGGCGCCGACAGAGACCGCACCACACCAGCTTTGCCGAAAGCACAACCAACCCCGACACTGAACAGCGTGGCGACAGCACAAACGACGACAGCAAGGCCGACGTCAGACAGCATCTGGATGTTGACGACGTCGGCGACGAATCCGACATTGAACCTTGGGACAATTTCATTCGTAGGGCTACCCGCGTCGCCTCAGACCTTGCAACGCGTGCACATGTGGAGGAATGGGTTACAACATAGCACAGGCGAAGATGGAGATGCGCGGGGCGAACTGCCACGCAACCGCACCACAGCTGGGCCCGAGTGGCAGCGGCATGGGAACCTGATATCCATTGACCCCCGGGCAACGCAGCGCCGACACGGTGGACAGCGAAAACGATGGAGTGACGACATCACAGAATTTTTACAGAAGGCTCTGGTTGGATGTGCACACGGCACATGGCTACAGAGTGTTACAAATGCCAAATTTTGGGCGGTCTTTGAGAGCGACTTCTTGAAATTCGCACGCCTGTGAACAGGCTCCGGCCCGTCCGCGCCGCCCCAAGGGGCCTGCCGGCCCGCCGGCCGGCGGACTCGCGCGTCTAATGCCCATGTGTCTTCACTACAGAGTGCAATCAGTCGGACCCATCGGATCACAGAACAGAGAACCCACGGATGCACAGAAAACATTTATTTATTCAGTCGGTTCGCTCATTCCGCCGGCCCGTATTGCATGATCGCTACTGCTTCGGCTCGGGCTCGGGGCCATTTCGACGCCGCCGGAAGGAGGAAAATGAGGATGGGGAGGGGGAGGGGAGGAGGAAAAGAGGATGAAAAGGAACGGGGGAGGATGAAGGTAAATATGAAGAGGAGGAGGAACAGAAAGGGCGGATGAGGAAACCTCTCGATGGCATCTTGCGGCGCTCTTGGGGCCAAACAGGGCCGTCGTCCAGATGTTTCTTTGGGAGGCCCTGGGGTCTGTTGAGAGGCCGTTCGGGGGCGCCTGGGAGACATTCTTGAAGCCTTGTATGGGCCTCTTTTGAGCCTCCTTGGAGCCTCCTGGGGTCTCTTGGGGGCCTTTTGGCGGCATATTGGGCCATCTTGGGGGCCTCTCGGGTCCTGGGGCCCTTTTGGGGCGGAAGGCTTGAGGTTTCGGTTCGTGGTCCCCATCTTGGGCCCCTCTTGGGGCCGTCTTGGGGCTCTCTGGGGCCGTCTTGGGCGTCTCTTGGGCCGTCTCGGGGCCCGTTTGGGCTCTCTGGGGGCCTTTTTGGGGGCCTCTTGAGCCGTCTTCGTGCGCTCTCGGGGGCCTCTTGGGCCGTCTTGGAGCATCGGAAAGCCGAAAATGCAACAAGGCCAAAAACCTTCCAAGACCATAGTCAAATTCTTTACGCTTCGCGTATCCCCACCAACCCATCTCACAACAGTAACTCATGCGAAGCATGCCGACAGTCGTGTTTTTCAGGCGTGTGTCCGTTTGGCCCCGCATATCTCCCCTGTTCCTCCTTCCTCCCGCCTCCTTGTACATCCTCCTTGTGGGGGGAGCGGGAGAAGGACGAGGCGGAGGAGGAGGGAGAGAAAGCGCTCCTCGTGATTTGAGTCGTTTGGGGTTTCTCGTCCTGGTGTGAGTCGTTCGGGCCCTTCTTCCTGGTGTGAGTCGTTCGGGCTCTTCGTGGTGTGAGTCGTTCGGGCTCTTCGTCCTGGTGTGAGTCGTTCGGGCTTCTCGTGGTGTGAGTTGTTCGGGCCCCTCATCCTGGTGTGAGTCGTTCGGGCCCCTCCTCCTGGTGTGACTCGTTCGGGCTCCTCGTGGTGTGAGTCGTTCGGGGCCCGCGTCGTGGTGTGAGTCGTTCGGGCTCCTCGTGGTGTGAGTCGTTCGGGCGCCTCGTCCTGGTGTGAGTCGTTCGGGCCCCTCCTGGGTGTGAGTCGTTCGGGCTCTTCGTGGTGTGAGTCGTTCGGGCCCCTCGTCCTGGTGTGAGTCGTTCGGGCTCCTCGTGGGGCCTCTTGGGGGCCTCTTGGGGGCCTCTTGGGGGCCTCTTGGGGGCCTCTTGGGGGCCTCTTGGGGGCCTCTTGGGGGCCTCTTGGGGGCCTCTTGGAGGCCTCTTGGGAGGCTCCTGGGGGCCTCTTGGGGCCATCTTGGGGCCTCTTGCGACCTCCTCAGAAGCGCAAAGAAGCGCTGCCCCCTGAGAAGGACAAAATGAGCCCAAAACCTTCGTAAAATCAATGATTTTGCTATGAAGGAAGAGGAGCGCTGCCCCCTCGGAAGGCCAAAATGGGGCCAAAACCCTTCGTAAAAGCAAGGATTTTGGCTTCACAGAAGAGGAGAGGGTTTTTTCTGCGTCCCCCCGTCAGGGGCAGAATCCTCGTGAGGGTCGTCGTTTTTTGGCCCTCCCAGGAGTCGAAAAAGACCCCCCTGAGAACACCCCGGAGTCCCTGTCCAGGCCCAGGGGGAGGGGGTAGGGGGAGGGGTAAACCCCTCCTCGAAGGGGAAGAAGGGGGGTTGAGACCAGAGATATCTCCCTAAACCACTCACGCCCTAAAGGGCTGGTGGGATTAATGATTTTGGCCTCCCGGGGCTCTCTTGTGAGGAGGCCACTTGGAGCGTCTTGGCGGCTTCTTGGGCCGTCTTGGGATCATCTTCGGCGTCTTGGAGCGTCCTTTGGGCGTCTCGGGGGCCTCTGGGGCAGTCTTGGGGGCCTCTTGGGGCCCTCTTGGCGCGCTCTGGGGGGCCTGAGAGGCCGTACCCAGGAGGAAAACCATCTCTGAGTAGACCTTCCCGGGACCTTCCCGGGACCTGCCCAGGACCTTCCCGGGCTGCTGTCGGGGTACCTTTCGCTGGGGGAACCCCAGGGGCCGCCCCGCGCGCCCGAACTGGAAGAATTGTGAACCAGTTGCCGGAGATTTTAGCACGCCTCTGGCCCGTGGGGCCGGCGAATTTTGTCGCAGAGAGAGAGTGCCTGCCGCGTGCCCGCCCGTGGGTGCCTCGTGGACGCCGCGTGCGCTACGCGGGCGCGCAGCTTGCGCCCCATAGCTTCCACCACGAAGCTTGCGCCACACAACTGTCTTGCACCACATAGCTTCGGTATCGTTGAACCAATCCCCATCCCCATCCCCTTCGAGACCCCCACCGAATTACCCCTCCAGTTTGGGATGCACCCCTCGCAACCCGAAGGGATAGGCCGATATCCCCATCTAGGGTGTAAATCGGCCAGTGGGACCAAGGCCACGCCGCTGGGGACTGGGATCCGTTAAACGTTGCTCATTGCTTGCGCCGCGAAGCTTCAACCACATAGCTTGCAGCCACATGGATCGCACCGCGTAGCTGGTACAATTACAGCCTACACCGCATAGCTTGCACCGCAGTGCCGAGAACTCCACGACGCAACTCACATCATTGCCCCATCGCCTGTGCCACATGGCTTGCGCCGCGTAGCTTGCACCACATCGCTTGCAGTGACATGGCGCCATATAGCTTGAATTGCGCATCTTGAACCACGGCGGTTGAACATCCACAGTGCACTTCCGTACTGCTCGGGGCCCACGCTGGCACACTGATGATTGATATGAGTGTGCACTTTCATCGGTCGCTCGAGCTGTGCCTTTAGCTTCAGTTCGGCCTTGGCATCGGCACCACAGCACTGCGCACCACGAGAGCACGGCACCACGGCGCTGCGACAGTGCTGCACCACGACCCGCCCCCCGAGACCTCACGTCACCACTACACGACACCCCGCGGACAGCCACACCATCCGGTGATCCGCCGCGACAGCACGGCGCAGCGAGAAGACAGCAACCATGATTCTGTGCTGCCCGGCCTGTCGCTCGTTTGCACTGGCAGGACAGTCTGGTCGAAAGTGAGCCAGCAGCCATAGACACTCGCATGCTGCGTCGCACGCACGTCGTGCACGACACGAACCATGAGACTACGATTTTGCTTCACACAGGGTCGTGCCGTTCCCTCCTCGCTGCACGCTGCTGCCAAAGAAGTGCACAAGTAGCCAGAGGCGATTCCATCGTGCTTCGGCCTTGCAGCGCGTTGGTGTCCACAGTAAGGGTCCGTACGCAGTCCCTTTGGCTCAAAACCTTGGGCTTAGGCTGCTTCGCGAGAGAGGCAGTCGCTGCGGTCTCCCCGCTGACATCACGCAATTGCTCGGACATCATGATGAGCGTGGTGTTGCCGCTACTCGCCGCGTCTGCGGCCGCGATGACTGCGCGTCCTGTTACAGCATGCGACGCGCCACTTCTCATGCAGAGGCACCAAGCCGCCCATCTGGTCAGCCGGTCGTCGCCAGGTCCGACAGTGAGCTGCCACACGGCCGTGTTGGGGGAGGAGTGCTACGGGCATGTGGCGTGGGCGCATCAGGACGGTATCCGCTCGTCCCCGCAGTGGTATCCCGGATTGACTCCGGAGTCTTCCTTCGAGGATTTCCAGCGGCACCTGTGGAGCCATGGCCTGGGTGAGTGCCCCGAGCCCTGCGCTGCTACGGCGACGCCAGCGCCGACCGCAGCGAGCTGCCATACGGCCGTGTTGGGGGAGGAGTGCTACGGGCATGCGGCGTGGGCGCATCAGGAAGGCATCCGCTCGTCCCCGCAGTGGTACCCCGGATTGACTCCGGAGTCTTCCTTCGAGGATTTCCAGCGGCACCTGTGGAGCCACGGCCTGGGGGAGTGCCCCGAGCCGTGCGCGCCGGCCCCGAGCCCGGTGCCGAGCGTAGCGCCGACGGTGGCGCCGACCGCAGCGCCGTCCCTGGCACCCACAGGTGCCCCGACGCGGGCGCCGACGGCAGTGCCCACGGCTGTGGTCACCGAGCTGGCCCCAGGGTACACGGCCACGGGCGTGAAGGGCACGATGTGGGCGGACGCCACCGACGGCGGCGGGTGCGAGCTGCCCCAGGCCAGCTATGCGGTGCACCACGCGGTTGCGGTCGGTGACGCGGCTGCGAACGGGCTCCTGTCGGCCCAGAGCAGCAGCCAGCTTTGTGGCCAGGTCTTGTCGGTCTCCTGCGGGGGAGATCCTGTGGAGGCGGTGGTCGCCAGCATTTGCAACAAGAATGCCTACAACTGCGGCGTAGACCTGATCCGGACGTCCTGGGACGTGGCCACCGGCGGCATGGCTCCGGGGATCTTCGACCAGTGCACGGTCACCCTCAGGGACACGCTGCCGATGTCCTCGGGCTCCGTCGAGTGCTTCTTCCGGCCCAGCAGCGAGTACGGCAACCAGTGGTACGCGAGCGTGGGCGTGTTCAACACTGGAGGGAGGCTGCCCGCCTCTGCAACCCTGAACGGCCGCGGAGGATCCTTCAACGGCGACAGCGCCTACTTCGACTTCAACGGGTACGTTGGGCCCCACGAGGGCAGCTCCGAGCTGCTGGTGGTGACGTTCACGGACGGCACCTCCGTGTCACTGCCCTATGGCTCGTGCGCGTGGGCCGGCCAGGCCCACATCTGGTCCTCGGCGCCGACCGTGGCGCCGACCGCGGCGCCGACTGAGACGCACACAAGTGCCCCGACGCCGGTGCCGATGGCAGCGCCGACGCCATCGCCGACGGTGACGCCGACCCCAGCGCCGACGCCGGTGCCGACAGCAGCGCCGTCCCTGGCACCCACAGGTGCCCCGACGCGGGCGCCGACGGCAGTGCCCACGGCTGTGGTCACCGAGCTGGCCCCAGGGTACACGGCCACGGGCGTGAAGGGCACGATGTGGGCGGACGCCACCGACAGCGGCGGGTGCGAGATGCCCCAGGCCAGCTATGCGGTGCACCACGCGGTTGCGATCGGTGACGCGGCTGCGAACGGGCTCCTGTCAGCCCAGAGCAGCAGCCAGCTTTGTGGCCAGGTCTTGTCGGTCTCCTGCGGGGGAGATCCTGTGGAGGCGGTGGTCGCCAGCATTTGCAACAAGAATGCCTACAACTGCGGCGTAGACCTGATCCGGACGTCCTGGGACGTGGCCACCGGCGGCCTGGCTCCGGGGATCTTCGACCAGTGCACGGTCACCCTCAGGGACACGCTGCCGATGTCCTCGGGCTCCGTCGAGTGCTTCTTCCGGCCCAGCAGCGAGTACGGCAACCAGTGGTACGCGAGCGTGGGCGTGTTCAACACTGGAGGGAGGCTGCCCGCCTCTGCAACCCTGAACGGCCGCGGAGGAGCCTTCAACGGCGACAGCGCCTACTTCGACTTCAACGGGTACGTTGGGCCCCACGAGGGCAGCTCCGAGCTGCTGGTGGTGACGTTCACGGACGGCACCTCCGTGTCACTGCCCTATGGCTCGTGCGCGTGGGCCGGCCAGGCCCACATCTGGTCCTCGTGAGCCCAGGCCCTTCCTTTTTTTATTTGGCCCTCGATTCCCTCCGTGCCGCAGCCTCTGAGCTGGTGGACGCCAGGAGCGAGCGAGAGAGCGCAGCGCCTACGTGGTCCCTCTTCCAGGACGGCCCGTGCAGGACGCACTTGCAGAATTTATCCAACTGAGCTGCCGCGCGTGACCCGCCGTCGCAATGCCAGTTTCGATCCGATCGATCCGATTCGAGCAGAGCCAGTCCGATCCGATTTCGATTCCGCGCCGATGCAGCCCGATCAGACGCAGATTCCGATTTGATCAGATTTCCCGACTCGGTGATTGTTGATCCTGCCACCGCGTTGATGGAGGGAGTGCTGGGGGGAGTGGGGCTCCTGTTGTAGCTGGTGCCGAGGGGGGCTGAGGGAAGGGAGAGGCACTTTGGCTTCTGGTTCACTTCTAGCGTGGAGTTCCACAAACAATCTAGGAACTCAGAGCCAGAAGTGAGTGCATGTCGGGGTCGATGCATCTGGGGGGCGCTTACCTCTGCCTCGCAAAACGCTGGCCTGATTAATGAAGATTGCCCTGCTTCGGGTGATCCCCACCAGGGAGTTGCTGCGAATGGTTTCGAAATCTGCCTCGTATGACTACTATACTGCCATATCTACGTGTATGTGTATATATATATATATATATACAGATGTAGATGTATAGGCCCCAACACCAACGCTGCATGGTACGACCATAGTTCACATGACCGGCACGGCACGGCAACCTTTTTGAATTCTGGAAAACGGGAGAGGCACGGCAGCTCTTTCGGAGTCTGAGAACTGAGCACAGTACGGCACGGCACGCGGGCACGAGGTGCATGTCACGGCACTGCAATGCAGTCGCAGCCTCGAAGCCGAGCACGGCACCGCATGCGCGGCACGGCACGGCACGACACGGCGCGATGGCGACAAGTTCGTCGCATTCGAATGCAGAATCACTTGCTGAAAACATTGCATCCGTTCTGTACACTCACTTGTCAGACTCTCTGCGGTCAGTCGTTCCGCGCCCCGCGCACCTCGCTTGCGCCTGGCGCACAAGAGCGCTTTCCGTGTGTCGTTGATCACGTCTTCAGGTTGTAGGCGTCGCGTTTCGAGGGCACCAGTGCCACCTTTCACTGTCTGGGTTCCATGCTGGCTTACATTGTTTCCTCTGTACTAGTTGGGTACGTCCGTTGCATGTGATAGTCGTGTGTTGCATTACGCTCGTTACTAATTTCCGTCATGCCCGTTCGGTTTTCCGACTATGCCTTGTTTTGATGTATACTGTTGGGCCGTTGTGCCGATATGTTTTCTCTTGAGGTCTTTTACGCATGTTGTTGATGCATCTTATCCAGGTGCCTGCGGCAAGTCCCGCCACAATGCCAGCTCAGCTCGTTGGGTACCCATCTTCGAGCACCGAAGGCCGTCACATGTGACACCATTCGTATCCACTTCTTGAGTGGTTCTCACTTGTGCTTACTCGGACCGTCTTGGGGGTCTCTTGGGGTCCTCGGGCTCCTGTGGGGCAGTCTTGGGGGTCCCTTGGGGTCCTCTTGGGTGGGCCAGCTCGAGTCTCTCTTGGGGCGTCGCGGGACCATCCTGGCCGTTTAGGGGTTTCTCTGGGCCGCCGCGGGCCCGTCTTGAGTCCGCCTCGAGTCAGTCGATGGGCCCTCAGAGGACGTCTTGGATCCGGAGGCCCTGTTGGTCAGACTGGGGCTCCCTCGGGGCTGGCCTGGGCCGTCTGGGAGCCTTGCTGGGCTGTCTTGATGCCGCCCCCGCAGGAGCACTGGGCCAGTCGGGGGCCTCGCTGGGGGTCCACGTGTGGCCATCTTGGGCCGTCTCGGAGCCTCGGGGGCCTCCTTTGCGGCGTCGGGGTCATCTTGGGCACTCTCGGGGGCACACTGGTCCATCTTCGCGGGCTCGCCGGCGTACCTCGGCCGTCTTGGGAGCGCGGGCGCAGCCCCTTTTTCGACTGATCGCGGCCTCGGGGTGGCGGATCCATTATTTTTTTGCGGGGGAGCCAGGCCTTGGGATGGGGGCGATGCATGCGCTGTTTTGCTATTAGAGGGGGGGTCCTTCAGAATTGCAGCGCGCCATTGGTGTGTGCTTTGGGCATCTGCTCTAAATGTGGGTTCCTGATGCCTGGTCTTCATGCCTTCTCGTGATGTTTGGACGCATGCTGTTATTTTTGTTGTTCGCCCTTGGTGCTGTTGATGTATGGTGTGTGTGTGTGTGTGCGAGTTTGTGCCATTAGTGTGGTTGACTCGTATCCCGTTGCTGCTATTCCCGTACGTGTGTGTAGCAGGTGTTGTGCAGTAGTGGCCTCGCCCTCTGCCGCCGGCCCCCTCTCTACAACAACTGGGTAAATCGGAGGTGGATAGACCTCCTACCCTGACACGTCGTTTAAGGAATTGGCCGTTTTCGGTTTGCGAGAGGGCGTCACGGCCGTCATTTTTGCGGGTCCAGGTCCGTCGGTTTCGGTCTTCGGCCGTCTTCACTAAGGGGCGGTTTACTAAAGGGAGGTTTGTCCACCGCCGAGTAAAGGCTGCTTGTGAGAAACGAAACTTACAGGCTTCGCCACGAAGTTGTCCAGCTTCTGCTGCCCTTACCAGTCTCGACGTGAGTTAGATAATTACGTGGCGTGGCGATTGATCGGCTGTTCGTCCGCAAGCGACAAACACGCATTTGCGTGGCCACGAGATTGCCCAGCTCATGTCGTGCCTGCTGCTTGAAAGACGACGTGCGAGCCCGTCGAGCGGGAGTCACGGCGGGCCCCCCCGGAGTAAGAAGCGTTGCCTCGGGGGCGCGAGTCTGATACATTCTGCCAGGGATCATGGCCTCCGGGACGCAAACCAGATGTACTTTTCCACGGAACGTGGCCTCGGGGGCGCGACCATAGCGTGACGCGGGACCGTGGCTTTGGAGGTGCCAACCTAGATCAATTTGCAGTGAATCGGGGCCCCGTAGGTTAAGTGTTCGATCATGGACCCCTTGTCAACGCGAATATCTGGCTTTCACACCGATGACCGCCGAAGACCGCCGAAGACCGTGTCGGACCGCCGTCCAGACCGCCGACGAAAAACAGTCGAAGACCGCTGAAGACCGCCAAAAGACCGCCGAAGACCGCCGAACAGCGCCGAACACCACCGAAGACCGCCGAAGACCGCCAGAGGCCGCCGAAAGATCGAAGAAGACCGCCGAAGACCGTGTCGGGCCCCAGCGCCCGCGGCGGGGCGCGCGTTCGCTAGCGGTCTTCGGCGGTCTTCTGGCGGCTTTCAGAGGCGAAGATGCGTGGCGAGGGTTCCATGATCGAACGCGTAACGTAGGCGCGAACTGATCGTGGCCTCGGGGACGCGAATATGTATGTAATTCTTCAGGCTTACGCCGCATCCGCCGACCCCTTAAATGCGCTCGAGCAAGACATGTCTGACGCTGTTGAAAGAGCAGGCGGACATGTCGGGTGCACAAAAGAAGCACAATTCATCGGGGGAGAGGCTCTGTCGGAAATGCGCGGAGGGGCGAGAGAACGAGGTGCGACGTGACGTGCGCGGCGTGCGGAGGAACGTTCTCGGATACGAAGCACTTGCAGCAGCAACAGGTGGGGAATCATCAAAAGGCGACAGGAGCGGCGCGTGCAAGAGAAGACTACCGAAGTCGGAGAGGTCGTTTGGCGTCTCGGAGCTCTCGTGGGCCGTCTTGGAGGTTTTTCTTTGGCATTTTTGGCCCGTGTAGGCCCTCTTGACCCCGGAAAAGTCCCGTGATGCGCTCGTGCCGGGCCCGGGGGGGGCAAATCTCCGGTTTGAGGTCCTTGGGGGGGTTATGGGAGATCTCTGGGGAGGCATCTCGCAGGCTTCGTGGAGGTAGTTTCGAAGTTCACTGATCGCCTTTTTGGTACCTCTTGGGGCCTCTCTCGGACTCTCTTTGGAGGTCTTTTGGGGGTCTCTTGGGACCTGTTGGGCGGCTCGCGGGGTGTCCCAGGGCCAGGTGGGGGCGGAAGGCTCGGATTTTCGGTTCGGGCTCCGCCGTTGGGGCCCCTCTAGGAGCCGTCTTGGGACTCTTTTGGGCCGATTCTGGAGCCTCTGGGGCCGTCTTGGCGCCGTTTTGGGCCGTCTTGGGCGCCTTTTGGGACCCTTTTGGGACGTCATGGGGTGGCCTTGGTGGCCTCTTAGACTGGCTGGAACTCTGTGCAGGCTGAAAAGTCGTCGATGCTAAAAATGTACGTTTCCCAATGGAAAATCAATGATTTTCGGTGCTTTGGACCTTCCTGGAGCGCCCCTTCGGGGCCTGTTGGAGCGTCTTGGAGGCCTCGTGAGCTGTCTTGAGCCCATATTGGGGCATCTTGGAGCCACTGAAGGCCACGTGGAGGTCCTCTTGAGCCGTCGTGGTGCGTCCCGGGGCCATTCCGAGGCCACCGGAGGAGTCCCTGCAGGATTTTCGTGAGCGGATGACCCCCCCGGGGGAATCGGGGGAATCGGGGGACTCGGGGAAATCGGGGAATTTGGCCAGACCCCCTCCCCCTCCAAATCGACCGGACCGGGCTCCCGGGGGAGGGGTTTGGGGAGGGGGAAGATCTCACACGCCGATGAACCCCAAGGGGTCGGCGGATTTCCAGCGGGTCGTGGCCTCGGGGGCGCGACCAGCCCCGAAGGTGTTAATCCAGCGTGATTTGCAATGGACCGGGGCCCCGCAGGCGCGAGCCGGTCGTACTTGACGGGGGCCCGTGGTCTCGGGGGCGCGAGCCTGGCGTGCATTCGCGTGTGATCGTGGCCTCGGTGGCCCGCTGGGCGCGCATCTCTGCATGGCCCAGGGCCCCTTCCCCTCCTCCTCCTCCTCCTCCTCCTCCTCCTCCTCCTCCCCTCCTCCTCCTACTCCTACTCCTACTCCGACTCCTATCCTTATTCCTTATTAGAATATACTCCTACTCCCCCCTCAGGCCAGCAGATAGCGGGCGCATCCGGGTGGTCCCATCCTAACCTGTAAAAAACAATACAACATCAAGATTTTTATTATTTTTTCCTCTCGACATGGACGTCTTGTCGTCCACGGCGATAATCCATTGCAACAAATACCACAAAGAGCACACGCGCGCGTTCATGTCAGAATCCTACCGAGCACCGTGTGTTTGCAAGCATTTCAACATACAAACATCAAAAACCCAATGCTTTTTTCACAAAAAAATGTGCAAATTTCCCGCCCGGGCTCTCTTGCTGAAATCATAGGAAAACCATCGGAATCTTAAGAATTCGGTCAAATCCAGCGATTTCACGTCATCGCGCGGTGCACTTGCGATGCTCTGTCATGCACCCAGGCCGCGAATCCTGTGCAAAAAATATTACAAAGAGCGCACTCGCGCGTTCATGTCAGAATCCTACCGAATACCGTGTTTTTGCAAGCATTTCAACATAAAAACATCAAAAACCCAATGCTTTTTCACAAAAATGCTTTGGGGTGTCCTGTCAGACCGTCGGGCTTCCTCCGGCCACCTCTGGCTTCCTGCGGTGTACCGGGCCATTCTCGACTCGTCTGGCAATGCGTGCGCGGCATTCAACACGCGCTCGCCAGTTCCCGTCGGCAACCGCCATCGCGGCCGCATCAGCTGTACCAAACCGGCTGGCCGGTGTGACTTCGGCCCCCAGTTGTGCCAGCTTTGCTTCTTATGTTGTGGGAGGGCGGGTGGGACTGGGCATGCCATGCTTGACTCGCTCGAGCTGGCTAGCTTGACTCCTACTCCTACTCCGACTCCTATCCTTATTCCTTATTAGAATATACTCCTACTCCCCCCTCAGGCCGGCAGATAGGGGCGCATCCGGGTGGTCCCATCCTAACCTGTAAAAAACAATACAAAATCAACATTTTTCTTATTTTTTCCTCTCGACATGGACGTCCTGTCGTCCACGGCGATAATCCATTGCAAAAATACCACAAAGAGCACACGCGCGCGTTCATGTCAGAATCCTACCGAACACCGTGTGTTTGCAAGCATTTCAACATAAAAACATCAAAAACCCAATGCTTTTTTCACAAAAATTGTACAAATGTCCCGCCCGGGCTCTCTTGCTGAAATCATAGGAAAACCATAGGAATCTTAAGAATTCGGTCACATCCAGCGATTTCACGTCATCGCGCGGTGCACTCGCGATGCTCTGTCATGCACCCAGGCCGCGAATCCTGTGCAAAAAATATTACAAAGAGCACACTCGCGCGTTCATGTCAGAATCCTACCGAATACCGTGTTTTTGCAAGCATTTCAACATAAAAACATCAAAAACCCAATGCTTTTTCACAAAAATGCTTTGGGGTGTCCTGTCAGACCGTCGGGCTTCCTCCGGCCACCTCTGGCTTCCTGCGGTGTACCGGGCCATTCTCGACTCGTCTGGCAATGCGTGCGCGGCATTCAACACGCGCTCGCCAGTTCCCGTCGGCAACCGCCATCGCGGCCGCATCAGCTGTACCAAACCGGCTGGCCGGTGTGACTTCGGCCCCCAGTTGTGCCAGCTTTGCTTCTTATGTTGTGGGAGGGCGGGTGGGACTGGGCATGCCATGCTTGACTCGCTCGAGCTGGCTAGCTTGACTCCTACTCCTACTCCTACTCCTGTTCCTACTCCTACTCCTACTCCTCCTCTTCCTCCTCCTTTTCCTTCTCCTCCTCCTCCTCCTCCTCCTCTTCCCACTCCTCCGCCTCCTCCTCCTCCTCCTTCTCCCGTATGAGTTCAGAGGACGGGTTCTGGAGCAGTAAACGAGTGGTCCCCCCCTCCCATCACGCGGACAGTAACAGTTTACAGTAGGAAGCAAGCCTTATAACGATAACGCTGCAGGGTCCAGGGAGGGCTCTTTTCTCCGCAGTTTGGTGGCCCCAAACTCAAAAGGGGGACGGTGGATTGGTAGATGCCACTGACGTCTCATAATGGTGTGTGTGTGTGAGTGCGTGCGTACGTGCGTGCGTGCGTGCGTGCGCGCGCGCGTGTGTGTGTGTGTGTTTGTGTGTGTGTGGGTGTATGTGTGTGTGTGCGCGCGTGTGTATGCGCGCGCGTGTGTGTGTGTGTATGTGTGTATGTGTGTGTTCGCGCGTGTGTGTATGCGCGCGCGCGTGTGTGTGTGTGTGTGTGTGTGTGTGTGTGTGCGTGCGTGCGTGCGTGCGTGCGTGCGTGCGTGCGTGCGTGCGTGCGTGCGTGCGCGCGCGCGCGTGTGAGTGTGTGTGTGTGTCTGTGTGTCTGTGTGTGTGTGTGTGTTTGCGTGTTCGGTTTTGATGTGTGTGCATACGAGATATTGCTGATGCGTTGTGATGGTGTGTGTTATTGATGTGTGTCTGCGTGTGTGTGAATGTGTTTTTGCGTGTGCGTAACTATCTGTGTTCGTGGTGTAGGTTCTTGGGGCGTGTCATTGCTGTCTGTTCTCCATGCCTTGGTCTGATGTCTGCTCCTGGCGCCTGCGCTGGATGTCTGTGGAACGCGCGCCGTCGTGGCGCCTGCCTGAAGTGGTGGAGTGCTGGCGGGCGAGGCGGGGCGCTCGGGATCTGCGGGCGTCCCGGGGCCTGGCGGCCCCGGTTATGCAGGCCTGGCGGGGGCCGTCAGCACAGTCAATCCTCATAGCAAGGATTGGCAACCTTCCTTCGGCCCATCCGTAACGACTTTCGCGGTCGAAAAACGCCAACATGGCCCTCCAAGGCCCTTGCATTCTTACCGCGCATCCTTATGCTACGGTTTGACTGTGTTCTATCCCCCCTGGGCCATGGTTCGAACAAGAAAACAGTATAGACATACATTTTCGCGTCTCCGCGAGGATTTCTTGGGTCGGTGCTGAATTCCTTGGCGGGGTGCCGCCCCTGGCGCTCTCCGCGCGCCAGGAAGGGGTGTCCAGCGCAGATCCAATAAATCCGCGCGGACCTCCGAACATGCATGTTTTTGTAGTCTGTAGTTTCTTTACGTGCATCTCAGCCCCACCATGCCCATGCCGCGTTCTCAGCTGGGGGCAGGCCCACCGATACCCGAAGGTAAGAGCGCATGTCCCCTTGTAATCCTTGCAGGGGGGTGAATCGGCCAGTGGGGCCCAGGCCACGCCAGTGGGGATGAGGACCGGTGAAACGATGCTCAGGCCAGCTTGCTCTTGCAGCAGATCAGCCACATCCTGCCGGGTCGGGAAAGGCAGAGGACCCGACGCGCTGCAGGCGCCGTGCGGCGCGGTGGTGGATCCAAGAGGTGCCCCACGAGCACCGTCAGAGCACGTGACAGGAAGTCGTGTGCAAACTGTGAAATATCTTCTCTTTGGGTGATCGAAATGGGTACGGAGAGAGTCGTGACGAAGACCAACACGAGATCCAGTTTAGTTTGAAACGGTTTCGATTCGAAGAAGAAGACGCCATACATCCGCGCGGAGTGCCAACAGTCTGTGCTTATGCAGTTTGTTTATGATTCTATCGATGTCGATGTCGCCGACGACGTGGTCACCTAGAGACATGGACTCGCCTGCCCAACAGTGGCCGCTGTTGTAGTTGCTGTTGGGCAAAGTGCTCATGGTTTCCGTACTCATTTCGGTCGTGGCAAGTCGCAGGTTGTCTGTCTTCCGAGGAGGCAGGCACATGTCCGCTTCTTAGTTCGGGGGCTGCCAGGCGCTAGTTGTCCTGGCCGAAGGTGGCGCCAGGTTTTCCAGGGATGCCCAGATTTCCCCCAGAGCACACCTCACGAGGCCCAGGAGGCCTCACTGGCTCCAACATGACGCGGGAAGCTGATGGCACCTTAGGCCAGGATCACACCCAAAGCTTTGGACATGGCGAGGATAGCGGAAAAATGCGCACCGTCTTGCTCCCACCTCCTCGTCCACGGTTCGTTTTTGCCCCTTTGGCCTCGCCCGTTCCTCCGCTTCGCCCCTCGCTTCTGCCGTGCCGTGACGACGGCTTCATCAGATCAGCGCTTCCTCCCTCTCCTCCTCCCCCCCTCCCCTCCTCTCCTCAAGGGGTGGGTGGGCAAAACGACGTGGGCGCAGCAGGAGCAGCACCCCCCTCGTCGGAGGGCGCCGACTGTACACCCACACCGATCCTGGGCGGATTCCCTTCGGGGATCATCCGCTAAAATTGGAACGATACAGAGAAGATTAGCATGGCCCCTGCGCAAGGATGACACGCACACATCGAGAAGTGTTTCCTTTTTTCCCCAAAAAACACACCGATCCTGGGCAAGCCCACCCTGGGCCCAGGATCTCGGTGCATACAGTGGAGACCCATGCCAAGAATCACCTTGCTGGCCTTCCGTAGCCGTTTTTGCTCAAGCGATCTTTGTCGGCGCACGTACCTACCCGACGGGGAGGGAGGCACACCTCTCCCGTCAGCGCGGCGAGCCAACCGTCTGGATGTGGCAGCCATGGCAGGGCAATGCGGTGGGGCTGGCCGCCGCCAGCCTCGCATGCAGCCTGTGGCTCGGGCAGGCCGCAGGTGGTGGCGGTGACCCGATCTTCCAGTTGAAGAGCAAGAAGCTTGACAACGCCCAGTTCTGGATCATCTTTGCGGGAATGGTCTTCTACGGGCTCCTCATCGACCGCGTGCAGTATTTTACACAGCGAGCCGTTGAGAACAACCGCTGCAGCAAGATGATATTCGACAGGGTTGTCACGGAGTTCATGGTGTTCGGGATCGTTGCCATTACTATCTTCATAGGAACCAATTTAGATCCAGACCTCGATGATAAGTTTCCGTATTGTGTCACGCACCTCACTTACGCTGACGTGTTGGTGTCGTTCGCTGCATGTTCCCTGATCGGGTTGGGCGCACTCTATGCGTGGATGCGGCACCGCACATCGGAGCATTTGCAGGGGTTTGAAGGGGATGCGCACACCGACACTGTAATCCCGAAGATGGGAACCTGGACACCCATGAACGTCAAACAGCAGAGTGTCTTCTTGGAGCGGCATAAGTTGACGACATATTCGTTTAACTGGAATATGTACTTTCAGGAGTCGCTCGCTCACCAGATCTGCGATCTCATCAACATTACGTGGGTGACCTGGCTCGTCTCGTTCTTGCTCCTGCTCCCCATGGTGTTCTACAAGATCTTCATTGCTACAGACGCAGCCAAGACTCCAGCATACATCAATGGCTTCCTCTTCATGACGTTTTTTTTTTTGCTTCCTCACTTTGGCCACTGTGGTTAAGATCAGGCTTCTCCGTGGAAAGCTGTACGTAGCCGTGAACCGGTACCTAAAAACGCATCGCCCAGATGAAATGGACGAGGACAGCGAAGACGAAGACAGCGATGCCGATGATTTGGATGACGTTGAGGAGCCCTTGCAATGGTGGAGTGACTTCATGGCATGGCTCATGCAGTTTGAGTCTCTGAGCGTGTGCTTCCTCTTGGGCATGTACGTCATGCACCTCACGTACAACCTGAAAGTATACAAAGACGAACTGAGCTATGATGTGTGGTGGTACCATCTCGGCTTCCTGGTCCCGCTTCTGTTCTCGCTGCTTGTCTTGTTCCCCTTGGGCTTGGTGGAGCTGACGACTGTCCAGGCTTTCTCCGCGCCCGACCAGGAGGTGCTCCACACAATCGTCTCCGAGGTCCGGCAGGCTCACACAGACCTTGTCTTCATCCAGAACAAGGTCACGGGCTTGACGCAGGGCAAGGCGAAGGCACTGCTGCTCAATGCGAACGGTGGTGACGATACTGTGAAGAGGATGGACTTGATGAGCCTCTTAGTCTCGATCGACGTACACCTGACGAAGGAGCGCGCCCTGGGCGTCTTCGACCTCGTGGACCAGGAGCACGATGACACCGGTGTCACTCGTGGCAAGACCATGAAGCTGAAGGTGAAGAACTGCCTCGAAGACGCGATAGACACCCAGGTCCCTATCGACGATCTGCTGGACAGCGCCCGCAAGGCCAAGATGGACGGCAATTCGGGCAAGGAGGCGTGACTGGTACGTCCTCGCCGGGCGGTAGAGTTGCTAAAGTGGTTCTGTCCCCTAGCCTGATAGGGTATACCATAAAATACTCGCGGAATCAGAGCCCAATCAGAGACAAATTCTTGTTTGGAGTGATATTTCGTTTGATTGGCCTTCGGCCCGGACCTCCTCATCATTCTCATCCGCCTCATCATCTCATCATCATTCTCTTCTCCTCCTCATCATTTCTCATCTGGTCTGACACATGTCAGACGCAGCCTGCTCTTTCGCAAGAGTCTCAAACTTTGGCATGCTACGGGGGTGCCCAGCTCAGAGGTCTGGGCCCCCCCCACGCCAAAGCGAAACGAATATCTTAACAATGTATACGACGGCAAGATGCCGAAGTAATGGTAGCCCCATCCATGCTGAATCATATCTCGGCGGCGGATCGGAAGACGTTTCAATCGCTTCGCGATAAGTCCATTCCATTCCATTCATCATCCTCCTCCTTCTGCTCCTCATTCTCCTTCTTCTTATCCCTCTCCTCCTCGCCATTATCGTCACCGTGCCCAGGCCTCCTCTCCCCCTTCCTTCTACGCTGCGGTGCCCCGCTGGATCGAGGCTGGCCGAATCAGAGACGAGTATTTACTCGGAGTGAGATTATGTTTCAAGCGGCCTTCGGCCCGAACCGCCACCGTGCCCAGGCCTCCTCTCCCCCTTCCTTCCAAGCTGCGGTGCCCCGCTGGATCAACGCTGGCTCGATTGGTGGCATTTGCAGCCTGGCTGTAATTTTTTGTGGTGGTGTTGGCACGTTGCCTACATTTTGTGGTTGGTTCCAGCCGTTCCATGCAGCGATTTGTTTTGTGCGCCGAGTGGAATACGTCCACCGCGCCCGCAACAGCTCGTCTGTTCCGTGGACTACGCTGCGCAAGCAACAAAAAGCACCGTGCTTGCCTCCACGGTGTCCTGGGTTTATTGGGTTTCAATGGTTTTGCGATGGAAAGCATGACGTCCCCACACCAAAAATCAATGAACGCCCTGGGGTCTCAGGGTTGGGTTTCTTGTGGAAGGTTCCTTGTGGACTGGCCTCCACTGTACGTGTCCCCTCCCCCGGCTTGACGGGGAGGAGCAGACGCACCAGTCCTGGGCCCAGGACCATCGCGGGCCCAGACCCGGTGCAGGCGTACAGTCAAAAACCCTAGTAAGGACGCGCGACTTTGCTCAGGGTGCCCTTGCGCCCTTGCTCTTCCTTGCTCTTGCGTCTCCGTCCTTCCTTGGTTTCGTCTTGGGTTTTTCGTCGCCCGCCGCCCCAAAAATCTCTAAGCCTCCTAGATGGGGTCAGAGTAGATGGGGTCGGAGGATCGCTCCGCATCGCCGATGCATCGACGACGCGGCTCGATGCGGAGCCGGATTTTCTCCACGCCGGCGTCGCCGATGTACCGCACACGTCGACGATGCATCGCCAGTGCATCGCCGATGCATCGCCGATGCATCGCCGATGCATCGGCGATGCGGCGCCATCTTCCGACCCCATCTACTCCGATCCCATCTAGGAGGCCTCTAGAATCCCAACTTCGGTTTCCAAGGGTCGCGTCTCGCGTCCTTGCCGCGCGTCCTTATTAGGGTTTTTGACTGCACTTCGCTCCCTGACGCCCTCCGACCTCGGGGCAGCCGCTGCCCCGTGGGCCAGGGGGGGGCGGGGGGAATTCGAAGAGGGGGAAGAAGTGTTAAGTCGGGCCTGTCCCCCCACAAGGGGATTTTCGACGAAAAATCAAAGATATCCCAAAATAGCCAAAAGATAGTCCAAAAATAGTCTGGGGACTATTTTTTGAGTATTTTTTGACCTTTGGGGGGTATTTTTCTGGTAGTTTTAAAACTTGTTCTTCGAAAATCCCACTGTAGGGGGACACGCCCGGCATAAAGGAAGTGTTTGCCGCCGAGGTCGCGCGTCGCGGAGTGGGGTGCTCCGCCCGTGGTGTGCCCACCTGCCCGACCGGCAGCACTTGCTTCCTATCCTCCGAGGCGGGGATTTGTCCATATCCACCGCCTGGAGGGTCAGTTTTCGGAGCCTCGGCAGGCGGTGGACATGGACATTTTCGGGCCCCCGGGGGCCGGCCGAACTATATATCCTTATCCACCGCCCGCTGGGGCACCAGGACGTCGGTTCCCAGGCGGTGGATGTGAATAAATCCCCGCCTCGCACATCCTGGGCTCGCTGTGCTCGGGGAGGACGATGTCTCCAGAGGACCCTGGAGGCATCCAGAGGTCCCTGGGAGGCCCGTCGAGTTCCCCAAGGGGCTTTCGCAGACACCGGGAGGCGTTCCGAGGCCGCCAAAGGTTTCTGAGAACGTGTGGAACTCCTCGATGCTCCTCCTCCTCCTCCTCCTCGATCCTCCTCCTCCTCCTCCTCCTCCTCGATCCTCCTCCTCCTCCTCCTCCTCCTCCTCCTCCTCCTCGATCCTCCTCCTCCTCCTCGATCCTCCTCCTTTCCTCCTCCTCCTCCTCCTCCTCCTCCTCCTCGCCACCTCCCCCCCTGGGGCCAGAGGGTTGAGGGACGTGCGCCCGGAAGGGGCGCAGCGCCCCCGAGCTTTCCATGCCATGGCGAGGCGGCGGCCGCGGGGGGGACACCGCGGGCGCCCACTGGGCGCGCTGTGGCGCCGCCCCGGCGGCCTCAGGAGCGCCAGCTCGCGGCCGTGGAGGCGGCAGTGGGAGCGGCGGCGGCAGCAGCGGCGCAGGCCACCGGCCGCCCACCGCCTGCGGCCCATGGGGCCGCCGCCTTCAAGGGGTGAGGCCGCCGGCGCCGCCCGCGGCCCCGGCGGGGGCGCCGTCAAAGGGCGCGGCCTGCGGCGCGGGGCGCCGCGGCCGTGCAGCTGCCCCACGGCAGCTGCCCGGCGATCGAGGGCGGGGAGAGCCACCGTCCCCGCCGCCCGGCGAGGGGGAGGGCAAACGCCATGCCCGCGGGCGGGCCGCCCCAGGGGAGCCAGGGGGTCGCCGCGACACCGCCCGCGGAGGCGCCAAGCTCCGCGCGGGCGGCGCTCGAGCGGGCCACGGAGGCGGCCAGGGCGAAGAGGAGGGGGCAGCTTGGGCTGACGCCTGCAGCTGTAGGGGCCACATGCGAACCCCACCCCTACCCCCCACGAATTCTGAGGGGCAGGGTGGGGTTCACTTTGCTCGGGAGCTCCCGAGCCTGGCGTGAAGACGAGCAAATGCCTGAAGACGTCGTTGCAGGACACCGTGAAGTACAGTCAACCCGCATAGTAAGGACGGGCAACCTTCCCAAGGGTACCCTTGCATCCTTGCCTCCTCGGTGCATCCTGGGCCACTTTCGTTGGTCGCGCCCCGCTGGAAACTTCGAAATGGGCTTCCACGGGCCTTGCATCATCATCGCGCATCCTTACTGCAAGGGTTGACTGTACGCGGGGGACCGCCTGTCCCCACCGCGGGACCCGCGCCGCAGGCCGCTGGAGGCTGTGCGCGCGAGCTGAACCCCAAGGTGGACTGGCGATGGCCCCCATTCGTTTGGACCGCTGTCTCCATCGAGGCACATGTTACAGTCGGCGGCGCTTGGCACGCTTATCCGCCATGTACGGCGGGAGTTTTCATGGCAAGACCGGTGACGTCTCTCAAGGCTGAAGCTCTTGCCTTTGAGACCGCAATCGGTATGCTGACAGCTCTTACAACTCCTGGCTGTTCTTGACGGCCGACACGGTGTGAGGCGGCCGGTGCGACAGCACCCCGGGCCCAGGACAGAGACAGAGAAGGTGGACTGGCACGAGATGGCGGCCAGCTCCGACGGAGACGGCAGCCGCAGCGAGGACGGCTTCGGCCAGTGGCTCGCGGGCGGCGAGGGCGGCCAGCACGGGGTCGTCGGGCATGGGCAGGTGCTCTGCAAGCCGGACGTGGTCAGGCAGCTGAACACCAACGCGCGCGGCACGGTCGAGGGGGGCGCGGGAGGCTCGTCAGGCCGAGTGGAGGTTTGCGAGCAAGCCCGTCTACAATTTGGAAGGCGCCGAGCTGGCGGCGATCCCCTGCTTTCCCACGCTGGGCGGCGGAGGCGGCTCGGGCGGCGGCACTCTGGGGCCCCTTGGCGGCAGCATCGGCGGCGGCGAGGGCTTGGGTGTGGAGGCGGACAAGGAGGAGGCCTCTGGCGGCGGCACCTTGAGGTACCTAGGCGGCGGCATCGGCGGCGGCGAGGGCTGTGGAGGGTGTGCTGAATTGACGGGATGCGTTGGTGGCGTCGACGTGGAGGTCGAGCAGACCGCAGCTTCGTTCAGCGTTAGCCCCCAGGAGGTGAACGCCCGGCTCTCGGACGGCGTCGGTGGCACCGACGCGGAGGTCGGTGGTGCCGCGAAGATCGGCGAGATGCTGGCCGACAAGTCCAACGAGAGCCCCCAGGAGGTGATCGCCAAGATCAAGGCTGAGTTCGTGAATGCCTCGGAGGGCGGCCTTCCTGTCGAGGTCGTCGACGCGGCCCGCGTCGTGCTGCTGTTGGCGGCGGTGGCGGGCGGCTGCGGCCTGGAGATGGTGGAGGGGCTGCGCCAGCCGTTCCATGCAGAAGGCTGCCGAGGTGCAGTGTGGGCTCGTGGCCTCGGCTGGCCTCTGCGGCTGAGCAGCTCGTGGCTCGGGTCGGGCTTCTTTCTTCAGCGAGGCGTCCGCGGAGGCCTGAGTCTTGGGTCCGGGGAGGGGTCCCCTCCCACAGAGCCGACCCACGGTTGCGGCCTCCCCGCGTGACGGGGTGCCTTGGGCGCGCCTGCGGGTAGCAGGCTGCAGGGAGGGGGCCCCCTCCCTTCGCGGGATGCGAGGGGTTTCGGCCCATGGTCTGATCCACCTTATCTACCACCCCTTCCTTTTCCTTCTCGTTCTCCTCCTCCGTTTCCTCCTCCTCCTCCTCCTCCTTCTCGATCCTCCTCCTTCTCCTCCAAGTTTTTCCCAGCAGTCGAATGCGGTCTTCAGGGGCCTGATAAATGAATTGAACACCGAATACCTCCTCCTCCTCCTCCCGCTTCCTCCTCCTCCTCCCCTTCCTCCTCCTC